CACGACTAGAGGTGTCAAAATGGGTGACTTGGGCGGGTTTGGGTTGGGTAAAATGGGTAATGGGTATAAGTGAGTCAACTCATTTATACCCATTTAATTAGATGGGTATAAATGGGTAAGTCAAAAAATGAATTGGGTAACCCAATTACCCATTTATAACCCATTTATTTTAACTTTTTGTAAACTCATTTAAATTCATTTTTGCAAACTAAGTTATCAATTTATACCACTCTTTGTACCCATCATTAGTTTTAAATATTTACTTATAATATTCAATAAACTTAATTACCAATTTTTTTTCATTTATACTCTATTTCACAACATTACCTATTATTTAATAATTGAATAATAAGAATATAAAAATTTGAACTAAGTACTATAAAAACTTAATCCAAAAATTTTGAACCCCTAACATTTTTTCATATATAAATTTAAAATTTCATTTTATAAAGATAAGAAAATAGGCTAAAATTTATCATAATTGGTAATGCTAAAAAATGAGCAAGTTAACAAACTAAGAGAAAATAAAATAATAAGATAAAACCAACAAATAATAATAATAATAATAATTATAATAATAATGAAACAAAAGTAGTTAACATCATGACAAAATGAAAATTTTGAAAAAAAAAAAGGTGGGGGAAAAGAAGAGACTTGGGGGGAAGAGAATTCTAAATGGGTTAATTGGGTTTGATGAGTTACCCAATAATACTCATTTATTAAATGGGTATTATTGGGTAACCCATTTATACCCATATACAAAAATTTAAGATACCCATACCCATCTATTCATGGGCGGGTATGGATAAATTTAGTTAAGTGGGTTGATTTGCCACCTCTAATCACGACTATTGCCTTTTAAACCTAACTCTTTGCAAGCATAATTTGCTAAACAAGAAGAAAAAAAAAAAGGGAACCTCGATTGCATGATAGGAAAAGGAAAAAAAGAAAGAAAAAAGAATGGAACAATCAGAACAAAATTGTATCAATCAGGAACATTACACATCAATGTTCCAATCCTCCATGACTATAGTAGGAACATCAAATGACGATTCAGGAACGATTATTACCAACTCGCTTCTCCGTGGAAGTGATTTGAATCAAGTGGTGGAGCCATATTCCAGCCAAGTATAGAGACCCGACACCCATCAGAACTACAATGAACACTAAAACAGAATAAGACTCCGATAAGCGTTTGGCTTTGGGAATTTGGCAGGAACCCCATATAGTAAGCACTAAAGTAGTGGCCGCTGAAATGAAAGCCACCACATTGACTAGCACATCCAGCCAGCAAAGGTGTCCTTTCATGGTCGTCTCGGTCTTGACCTCTTCAACTTCTTCAACCCTTTCTTCTCCTACTGCTACTATTATTACTACCTCCTTCACCTCCTGCCTCGTCTCTTGTTCTACCTCTTCCATGAATCCCACGTTATTGACGACAAAATAAAAACAAGGGAAGACCAAATAATTAAAGAGGAGAAGTTAAGAAGTTAATTGCACAAGAGTTACGAATAATTGACGACGGCTCTTCACCATTTTGCTCCTTTAAATAGAGGGTTATTTAGACAGCCGACTGTGTAGGCTTTTCCCTATCCCGCAGGGATTCAAAATTTCTTTGCTGCTAATTAGGAGTTTCTTCCCTTCTTGGATTCTTCCTTTTTATTTATGTATTTATTTGTTTGTCAAATATATAATTACCTCCAAAGTTGGTACAAAGAACAATCATCTATCTATCCTCTAAGCTTTTTGTTTGGATGAAAATACGTTCAGGTACTAGTTAACACTCTTCTTCCAGAGTTCCAATACTCTTGTGGGGGGCGCTTTCGATCCGACATTTGTGCTTATACTTGCTATCGATCCTAATATTTGTTTCTTCGTCCTTTTCCAGTTTGCATTGTGCAGCCCTATTGCTGACTGTTGTATTCGAAGACTTTGTGCATTGTTCATTACATACAAGTATACCACTAAAATCGTAGTATTTTTTAACTCTAATTTTTACAATGAATTTGATGACTAATGCAATCTTCCATGCATAATGCGTAAAAATATGAATGAAATACAAAATAATAACTAAGATTAAACGCTATCTGTACCCTTGTAGAAAAGGAAAATCCAATATATATGGTCGTGTAATCCGTCACAGTAATACAAATAAAAAAGAATAAGTTATAAACAAATCCAGTTTGGCATATGTATACGAATGTAGAAAGTTGGATTTGGTTTTAAAATCTATGGTTCAAGATTGTGAGGAAATTAGAATTAAGTTTCTATCCTAATCAACATTGGTTTCATTAAATAGACCCCCAAAGAGTCTAAGCCAAGCACATAGACACCGTCAAACAAAAAATAATAATAATTTTGTTCTATTAAAACACCTTTTCGGCTGCCTCCGAGCTTTCTTTCATTATAGGTTTCCAATTAAAAAATTATACTATCAAATCCTTCAAATTATTAGTAAGCCCATCATCGATCTTTGCTATTACAAATTTGTTTTCTTTTGCATGGTTCGAAATAATTAGGAGCAGAAACATCTTTGCCGAGCATCGTCGAAAAGGGATTAGTTTATAATGACATATATGTTGGATTTCCCTTTTCGATCAGGATATAATTAGAGTTTAATCTTAATAATTTTGTGTTTCATTTTTCTTTCCTTGTTCGTTTGGTTATATTAGGAGCTCCAATCCTTTGCCCACGATGGATACTTGTGATGGAAAATGAGATAATTTAGTCTTGAACCCAGTTCAGTGCATGAAAAACCACATTATTCATCAATTAAAGTATTAAAAAAAAGAACTAGGATCTTGATACGTTTAAATTTGTATGACACTTAATATATAGGACTTTTTTTATTGGATATTCGTTAACAGACTACATCATTTACAATGTAAAATATATAGAATCACAATTATTACGCCTCTTATATTTGAATAATTTCTCAAATTAACTACACTTTTCAAAAAGAAAAAATAGTTTGGATAGCACATTATCTCAAATAATATTTCGCTTGTATTATAAACACATTTTCCAATCCACCTTTTTTATATTTCCAATCATTTTTTTATCTCACATACATTACATCACAAAAAGTGCTACAGTAATTATTCCAAATAATATTTCAAATAATACTCTATCCAAACAAACCCAGTACTGTGTGTTACTATTCTTATATTTTTTTAAAAAAAAAATTCTATGTGAGGGGGAATGAGATTTAAGAAGCAAAAAGAAAGAAAAGACAATTCATGTTGGATCCTAATCTTAGCCATTAGACCAAGACACTCTCGGCTCAAAAGAAAAAAAAAACTTTTCGTAATATACACACACATATGTATATATAGTTTGTAGACACTTAGCCCAAAAAATTGCACAAGGCAATTTCTGCACAAGGAATATATGATTTTGGAAATCAGAATTCCTCCTCTCCCTTGACAGCTTCTAAATTAGCAGGAAATTATATGGCATCATATGGCTGAGGAAAGTTAAAAACAGTTTGCTGAAATGGACATTTTTGGGAATTTTATGCGATTTGTATGACGCTTCAGTTCTACTTAACTAGAATTGGCCACAGAAAAGCCGAAAGATTTTGACAATCTTGTTCCTAATTCACTTGCTTTTTACTCGATAGAATGCAATATTCCTTTTCCTATGAACCTATAGAAACTAGACCTTAAAATTTCTTCTTCTTGTTAAGTTTTTTAATGGGCGTCTAATGAGCATTATAAAGTAAGACTCTATATAGTTTTGAGGTGCACAATTCACGATCGTGTGGTTGAGCGAGACTGGTTGAGGTTAAAAGCAGATGCTGCATATTTGGAGAATGAATTAACAACTACATTAGAAGACCAAACTAATACTCAGGATCAAAAATGGGTATATCTAAGATAAGGACAACATACAAGGAAATATTAATTTACTTAGGAGATTGCATTTAATCCACCTAAAACATTAAGTCCAGCAGTTATATTTCTATCTTTTTTTAATTTTAAATTTCATGAGCATACGAATCAAAGCAATTACACAAAGTTGTCTAATGTGAGTCGAAAAGTTTTCTGACTTTTTTAACTTGTCATCTACAAAATCTAGCATACAAATTTTTTTTTTCGAACGCCACCCTCAGATTCTTTTTGATTTTTACTAAGTCAACATTTTTCTTTTTCTTTTCCCTCTTTCTCCACTCCATGACTATTATATTATCCAGTAAGTGTACTAATATCTAATATCGGGATTTGGGGCAGTATGACCGTCCCTGCACGGTTCATGGTCCAGATTGGACCATGAAAAAATGTGCGGTTCAGATAACAAGTGGTAACTCGATTTTCGCGTCAAGTGTGGGGCCCACCACTATATGTTGTGAAAATACAATCTGTGGAAAAAAAGTTACACGGTGAACAAAAGAAGTTACGCGCTGTTGATGAAGAGGGAATTTGCCACAGGTGCAACCGTCCCTGCCCCGAGTCCCTAATATCGACATAGTACAGACTGCAGCCCCCACGGACAGCTCGAGTGGACTTCGCGTTCTTCATTAAGGCGCCGGTCCTGGTTTCGATTTCGCACTTGAGCTGCTTGGGGTATTTTCCTCAGGATCGGTGGGCCCGCTCTCCTCGGAGTTGGGTGGACTGGTCGGGTGTAGATCCGTATACCTCCAACTGAAAAAAAAAAAAAAAAAATAGTACAGACTGCAGAAAAAGATCAATGGCATTTGATAAGACTGCAGAGCGTTACCTTGAATATAACGCTCTCTCTAAGAAAATTTTTATTGTTTTGGAAGTATTCGATATTAATCAAAGAAAAGAAAAGAAACGAAAAACTTCAGAAAAGAAAAACTTTGATATTAACCAAAGAAAATAAAAGAAAAGGCAAAATCTCACTTATTTTTTTTTCATTTCTCTCCTGAACTTCAATCTTTCTGGGTAAATTCTTTCCTTCACAGATCCGTGTTCTAAAACACTGGAAAATAGGAATATTTTCTGATTTGTTTTGTTGCCCCTTTTCGGCTTTTCCCATCCCAAATAGGATTTTAGTCTTACGCACTTAGAACTTAGAAGTCAAAACTCCAACCAACAAAAACCGAAAAACTTCGCCAAAGCCCAAGGATCAAAACCTCAACTCTTCCGACAGCTAAACATGACTGCTCTGTCTAGCTCTTCCTCCTCTGTGTCTAGGCTCCTGAGCCCTTCTTCGCAATCCAAAACCCCAAAATTTCTGAACCTCCTAAACCCCCAGCCCCAGCAAAAATCGCACACCAAAAATCTGATCTTTACCCTTAAACCACCCTCCTTATCAATCCTCTTCTCCACCAAACCGACAAAACCCTTTAAACCCCTCTTCTATTCCACCCCAGTAAGATCCCTTTTCACAGGAATTGTTGAAGAAATGGGCGAAATTAAGCATCTGGGCTATGATAAAGATGGCAGCTTTACCATGAAAATCCAAGCAAAAACCATTCTTGAGGACATTCATTTAGGTGATAGCATTGCAGTCAATGGAACCTGCTTAACAGTGACAGATTTCGATACCCAATTGGCTGAATTCACCATCGGATTAGCCCCGGAAACTTTGAGGAAAACGTCTCTGGGTGAATTGCAACATGGGTCTTCGGTGAATTTGGAGAGGGCTCTAAGTCCTAGTACTAGAATGGGAGGTCATTTTGTGCAGGGCCATGTTGATGGGACCGGAGTAATCGTGCGCCGCGAGCCAGAGGGGGATTCTCTGTGGGTAAAAGTGAAGGCAGGGAAGGACTTGTTGAAGTACATTGTGCCTAAGGGATTCATTGCAGTTGATGGGACTAGCTTGACTGTGGTTGATGTGTTCGATGAGGAAGACTGCTTCAATTTTATGTTGGTTGCATATACACAGCAAAAGGTGGTGATCCCTTTGAAGAAAGTTGGACAGAAGGTGAATTTGGAGGTTGATATATTGGGGAAATATGTGGAAAGGCTACTTAGTAGTGGATTTGTTGATTCCATCAGATCATCACGGCCTGTGGAGGTACATTAGTGTGTCTTTTTACCTTGGTACGGGATAGTACTGGTGACAGCTCAATGTCATGTACTACCTGAATTTACAGATTAAGTTTCAAATTTAGTTATTGAGATATGTTTTTAGTGGGCAAATTTTGTTTTGTTGGCATTTTATCTCTGTGAACTTGTGTATGAATGGTATGTCAAAATTTGTACCCTTGAATCTTCAATTTATATAAATACAACCAGCTGCTACTTTGAAATCTTTATGGGACTTTAGTAGTTGAAATTGTGGAGAGGGAAATCTAATTCAAATTGGACTTGCGTTTGGAATTGATAATTGTGCCTTGAGTGGAAATGCTTGTGGGCTGTGCGTGGATTTCATGAAGTTGAACTAACAAGGAGGATAAACCCAGTTTCATACTGGATCACCTTTGAACTCCTAGATATAATCTTACTAAAAGCTAACTGTACAAGAACAGCATATAGAATATGGCTTATATATCCCGAAGGACAAATTTTGATTTTAGTTGTGACATTTTTTAGTAGTCCTAAAATGTTTGTCTTGAAAGATAATGGTAGATATTGTATGTTTAAAAAGTCAACAACTGCCAAAAAAATGCAGCGGTTTGCAGATCCTATTTGAGCAACTGCAGTCTTTCCCGGTTCATCCAAGTGGATGTTAGCATGGATTTGTTTTGCTTTCTTCATCTCTCTGTTGAGGAATTAATGACTGGTATTCTTGTTGATTAATCATTTTACCTTCGGTAATTCTTTGAAGCAATAGTGATGTCAATCACAACATGAAACTAAGCTGTGCTGGAAACCTTCTAGGCGGACTCCCATTTCATCTCTCATGACTTGACCTGTAGCATCTTGATTTATGTTGTGTTCAAAGGCTTTCATCTGTATTTAGCTTCAATCTCTGGGAAAGTCCTGTGTTCCCTTCCTATCTCGGCTGTTTGGATAACTGAAAGAATATTTGCTTAGAATGTCTAAAACACAACTAGTTACATCAAGAATTTGGGCCTCAAAGGTTGTATGCTAGATTTTATGTCACCATAAGCATAAGGGAAATCACTTTTTTATGAAGTAGCTTAAATTTGTAATCTTCAACTTTGAGTTTAATTGATAGCATTGGGAACCTACTGCTTTCTGGTAAAAGTAAGGATATTGCTAGTTGGAGTTTTTGAGTAGATCAATCAGTTTATCTAAGGCATATTTTCTAGATTAGTTAATGCACTCTGCATCATATTTGTTAGCCACTGTTGCAAAGGGCATAAATGAAAAAGGACAAACTAACTTACAAATTCTTTTAGCCTTCTACACAGAGTTGTAATTTGCCGAAACTTAAAAGAATGAGAGCAGTATAAGCTATAGTTTCTTAGCCTGCCAAACAATAGTAATCAACTGTTTGTTTTGTGATAGCAAACCCTTTACCTTTAAAAGCTGTTGAAATGATAATGCTTGTTAGGATATTTTGAAGGCTTAACAATAGAGCTGGCAATTATACCCAAAACCCAACAACCCACCCAACCCACCCACTAATTTGAGAGGTTGGGTTGGGTAAGTTGGGTTTTGGGTTAATTTTGGGTTGGGTAATAAAAATTCATATATATTTTGGGTGGTTTGGGTATTTGTGTTGGGCACCCATTACCCAATTTAAGTTAAAAAAAAATTAACAACTTAAAATCAAGAAACAAAAAAGAAATGACCAGCCTTGTTGGATCAAGCAAAACCCATATATGTACTGGTATGTATAATTATCATATATATACTACTACTACACACTGAGAAGGATGATCAACGAGTAATGCTTAAAAAGAACAAAATTGAGAAATGAACGGTGCAGCACAAATGTCAGTAGGATTTAAAAAAAAAAAAGAAAAAAGAAAATCCTTGTACTCTTCGCTCTTCACATCCATCCTTTTGCCGAGTTCCGGAAAAATGCATCCTCCTGTTCTTCTATTTCTTTTTCTTTTTTTCATTCAAAATGAAAAAACAAGTCCCTCCCCCCCAATTTATTGTTCCACCCAAAATTGTTGTTTCGGTCTCTTAGTTTGGATCAAAACAATACCCAATTTGAAAATCTTGTATAAAAAATAGTGAGTTCATCCAAGTAATTTAAATAGTTAGTATGTGTGTGTATTTGTGAAAGTATATTAGTGTGTATTATAATGTGTTTGTATGTGTAAAAATAACGTATTTCAAAAGAGTTTAAAAAGTGAGTGTGTGTGTGTCTATGAGTGTTTTAGTGTGTAAAAATATGTCTATCTATGTGAAAATGTGTTTATGTGTGTGAAAATTTTTTGTTGTATGTGAATATGTATTTGAGAGAGTTTATGTATCAAAATCTATTAATTAATATATTGGGTCATATTTGGGTCATGAGTTTGAGATGACCCAATATGATCCAACCCAAAATTAACCCAATCTAAAGTTGGGCGGATTGGGTGTCACCCATTTAAATGAAAACCCAAATCAATTCGCCCAAAAACCGCCCAACCCGCCCATTTGCCAGGTATACTTAACAAGTTCAAAAGACTCAGAAATTTTGTTGTTCCTCAAGTTGTTGCGGTCCTTATCCATTAGAGTCTATGTGGGTATGAGAAAGCAGATGCTTTCTTTTATCTTTCCTTTCTGAGGGAGCAAATTGCTGATATTTGTGTTGTTTTTATCTTTTAATACTCTAGTTGCTGTCAACTCAGATGCACTAATCAAATGATATGAGAGACTCAACAACATTCATTGAGAGAGAGAGAGATTTGACTAAAATTGAAACCACAGGATGAACAAGCTTTTGGCTTAAGAAGTTGATAATTAATGAGACATAACATGAGTAATCTTTGGCTAATATTTGGGTTAAGAAGTTGATATAGAATGAGACATGGGATGACTAAGCTTTTTGCTCAAACGCATACTTTTGAGAGATGCTTGAAGCTAATCTATTGTAATTCTGAAAAGAATTTGAAGGAGACCTGAAAGCCATCTCCTTGTCAGCATACAGTAGCCTGGCAATCTATTTTGCATCAGTAGCATCTACAGACATAGTAAATGACTTAGCATTTCATATGGTTTTTGCAGCTAAACCAAATAGATTCAGTCAATTCTGAATCACTTGTATCAGTTTGCTTTCTGTTTCTTGGGTTTCATCTGAAGCTAAACTAATGGAGAATAGATAAACAGTCATCCAGATGAAGAATTGTTACTCATGTTAATGAGAAATGTTTTAGCTATTTTATTTTCACGGAAACTTGCTACTCTATTAACCAACTTGCTTTCGTAAAGCAGATCTATCCTTCTTCTACGTCTTTTAGTACTATATTCTATTGGTTGAGCTCATTTTTTACCTCAGCCTTTTTTGTTGACATATTGATTTATGCTTGATCAGATAGAAACTTGCCTGGGAACATTGTTCCAATTTAGTAATTGTTATTCTTCTAACTTTGGTGTCCCAACAACACGGTATGTCATTGAAAGACTTGCCGTTTTTTATTTGATACTTTGTCGAGGTTTTTCCATGATAAACCGAGATACATGGCAATTATCAAGATTGTCACAGAATTACTTAGAAGGGTATATTTTACTTTCAGCTCATTCATTTTGCGAACTTTTTGTGTGGTGCCTTTGGGTAAAATCAGTTTGGCCCAATTTGGGCAGTTCAATTTAAATGTGAGAAGTTTTTTTCTCTTTTTTTTTTGCCACTAAAATTCAGATATGGCTGCCCAAATCCGGGTTATGTATGGTAGGTCGAGTCCTGACCAGCCATTCTTGGCAGTTGCCAAGAAACTCATTGCCGTGTGCCCTTGGCAGGCTGGAGTATGTTGTGGGATTTATTGCGTACACCCAACCACATCTTCTCCTATCGAAATCTCATAAATGAGATGAGTTGCGAAGGGGTTCTTTGAGTGGCCATTGGAGTTTTATCTGTCATTATCTTGCTGTCTCCAACTCCGAACTCCTGTGGTGGTTAAACTTTATATTGAACATGACCTGACCTTTCCTTCAGTGTTACTCCATGCACCTGGGTTGCTTTGAACAGCGGACAGGTCAATGGGGAAGGATTTGAATGGATTTAATCTGCTCAGTGGTCCAAGTTGTTCAATTTGATATGTCGATAAATTCTTGGTATTCGGCCGACTATATGTTACATTAATATTTTCACATTGATGCGCTAATTGCTGGTCCAATTTAGTTATTCTAGTTCCTCGACAAGTTGATAATAATAATGTTATGAGAATTTACCATTACAGACATAACGGGAAAAGGCAAGAAATTGTAGTTAAAAGTATGACTCCTCAAACACAATTATGCCCTTCTTGCATTTCCCTCCCAATTTGAGCTTTTGTGTAATTTTACTATAACCTATTGTAGTTATACAAATCACTCCCTTTTCTCGCTCCTCACTTCAGGTCACCCGCCACCGACAGCCTTTGCTATCCACCTCTGCCATCAATACTCTGTGTAATAATTTTTTTATGTTATTAAAAAAACTTGTGGATGTTTTAGAGAGTGTTACTTCGGATGAACTTGTTTTACTATAGAACTACTTATGGCTCAGTGCCTCTTGGTTCATTCAAGCCATGAGGCGTTCTTTTGGAGCTTGGCTTTGTAAGGTACTATATTAAGAGTTTGCGCCACATTGCAAAATCAGTGCCGAAATAGCAAAAGTTCAAGCCAATTTGCTTTGGAGAATTGGAGATGTATGGTTGTAGTGCACCAATCATTTTTATTGCTTTTATAGTGCTAGCATTCTTTGTGGTGGAAGGACCAAAGAAAGCGTTATCTTATTCTTATCTTCAGACAATATGCTCTCATGTATGGATTGTTTCCGCAAGCTGCGCTCTTTAGACATAGCTTTCTTGACCAGAAAAGAGAGCTCTTTTCTATGGATGAGGAGATTCTGAACTCACATTATCTCAAAGGAGGACCCCCAACAATAAAATGTTCACCTTTAAGTCAACCCGCAACCATCTTGTCGAAAAATATCATATGCTAGATTACACGGTAATCTTGAAAAAATTAATGAAAAGTATTACATTGAATTAATATAATTCAATTTCTGTTTTTTTTTTTTTAAAAAAAAAACCAAAGGGGACCCCAACAGATAAAATGTTCATGCTTAAGTCAACCCCCAACCGTCTTGTCGAAAAATATCAGATGTCAGACTACAACAGAGTAATGTTGAAAAATCATGGGATAATTGCAGAAACCTTCCTGAGGTTTTTGACAGTTGCACTCACCTCCCTTAATGTTTGAAAAATAG